ACAAGTTTGGCTCTTGTAACGGCTTAAAGTGTTATGTTCTTATGAGGGAGTTTTGCTAAAGTGCATCCTAACAAGTGATGCAGCTCACACAGATCGTCAGTTCTGAAAGCTTGGAAAACACGCAGCAGTTATGCAGGAGTTTGAGAGTAAGGGTGTAAGGGCTATGTCAGGCAGCAGAGATACAGTAAGTTTTGTTTGCATGCGTAGAGTTAAGAAGCTTGACAGCAATGGATAGTGTTTGTCTTTGCCTGTCACCATCCTGTCATGCATGCCTGGTCATTACCCAAAGCATCCTCCCTTCAGCTATACGTGTAAGAGTAATGGCAGATACCATTCTGCTCCTTCTGCTACTGAGGTGTCCTTTTTATGCCAACAGTACTCTGTTCCACAGTAGCCGTGTTCCCTGACTCGTAAGTAGATTTAGAAATGCCTGCATCTCATAATGGACATACTAAACTGTGGGACCCAGAAGCCCTTCCCAGTTCCTGAGCTGCAGTATATGTATTCAGGCTAGATCCTGGCTGTGTATGGACTTTGGTATGCACCATTCCTATGGAACTGAAGTTTCCTGTGGATGAGAAGGAGGGGTCAGTGTTGCCCTCCAGCAGATCCATAGAGCTAGCACAGTGCAAAGTACACTCACTCCATGACTTAGACATGATGTCTGTGTCTATACTAATAAATTAAAGATGCCTGTAAATATTTGACATGGAGAACAGCTGGTACAGAACCACTCACATCCATACTATTAAACTTTTAAACCTTCTAAACAAGGTAGTTTGTGAAGGCTGCCAGTATTGAATGGTCTCTAGCCTGTTCTAACCACAAGTCATGCTGAGGAATTGTTTGGGAAAGTGCTGGTTTGCATGGGCCAAAACCATACTGGAGTCTGTTCCAGAAGTTTGACAGTGTAGACAGTCAAGTCTGAGTGCTGAGACGCATTCCCTGGCACTGTTGAATGTACTAGTATAGGCATAGCCAAACAGGATATTCCACATCTTTCTTCAAGACTCTTTCTGGTAGTAAGATGAAATGTGTATTTTTAAAATAAATTATGTATTTACTTTCCTTCCCATAACATGCTATGATGGGAGAGAAGCTTTTGGTGGAGAAGAGTGGAATATTTTATCAGAAGAAAATTAAGTTAAAGTTACAGTATTCCTTTGAATTTAGTTAGTGTGTATCCTTCAATAATTGTTCTATTGTGTGGGAACAGGTTTCAGAGTTTAACATTGACTTTTGAAAATGTCAAAACTTATGCAATTATGCATTGGTTAATGTCTCTGACAACAGAACGTAGAGCTACATAGCAACTTTATATAATGCACTTCTCTGGTCTAGCTTGCTCAAAAAATTTATTACCCCTAGATTTTGCTAACACTAAATGCATTCATGGTTGTGCTACAGAGTTTTATAAAATCTTCTTACATTACCATACGCTTCCTTCCACAGGTGGCATAGTATTGAGTAACCATTTGTCCATTCTAGTTGCCTGTATAACAATGTTTAATTTTCTACATACAAAGTAGAAGTAATAATTTGACATTTTACATGTTTTCATGAGAAGAAATCTTTGAGGATTTGTATTTCGAGTATCTAAAGTGCTTTAATGTGAAAAAAAGAGTATCTTGTTTCAAAAATAATTTCAGTTATGTTTGCCATCACTGTTTTTATACACCGAGTTGAATTATATTCTTCAATCAGCTACCTTGCATTTGGGCAACTTCAAAAAAAGGAAAAAGATCAGACTCATAGGAAAGAATACCAGGGAGAAGCAGATGCGTCATGTAAAATACACATTATTTTAATTCTAAAACTGCTTTTTTTCCTAACATGATTTTCAGCATCTCCAGTCAAATCACCTTTTGGTTTTCACTTTGTCTTCCTGTTAAACTAAAAGAATTGTGCTTGTTGACATTAGTCATGGATTCCATGTCTGTCATGTTTCAGTAATAAATATAACTACTGTGCTAATAATTTCAGATTAACACAGAAGCAGGTTTGGTTCAGGATAAATAGAGCATACTTGTCCCATCTCAATGTTGTTGGGCTCTTTTCGAGCTTAAAATTACAGGATGGTTGAGATTGGAAGGGACCTCTGAGGGTCATCTGGTCCAACCCCTCTGCACAAGCAAGGGTCCTGCATGACGAGTTGCTTGGGACCATGTCCTTTGTGTCTCCCCTGCCCCTGCACTGTCCCTGTGGTTTAATTTGCAGCACTGAAGGAAGAAGTTTTAGAAGAAATGTCACTGTTAATTCAAAAGACAGCTTTTGAATCTTTCCAAGGATGGAGAGTCCACAACCTCTCTGGGCAACCTAAGCCAGTGCTTGGTCACCCTCACAGTAAAGAGTGTTTCCCGATGTTCAGACAGGACCCTCCCATGTTTCAGTTTGCATCCACCACCTCTGGTCCTGTCATTGGGCACCACTGAAAAGAGCCTGGGTCCATCCTCTATGCACCCTCCCTTCGGGTATTTATATACATTGATGAGATTCCCCCTGGGCCTTCTCTGCTCCAGGCTGAACAGTCCCAGCTCATAGGAAAGGTGCTCCGGTTCCTTAATCACCTTTGTGGTCCTTCACTGGACTCTGTCCAGGATGTCAGTCTCTCTCTTGTGCTGAGGAGCCCAGACACTGGCCTCCACTCCAGGTGTGGCCTCAGTGGTGCTGAATAAAGGAGAAGGATCACCTGCCTCCACCTGCTTGGCAGCACCTCTCCTAATGCAGCCCCAGATGCCATTAGCCCTCTTTGCCACGAGGGCAGATTGTTGGCTCATTTGATGTCCACCAGGACCCCCAGGTCCTTTTCTGCAAAGCTGCTTAACCCTTAGCATATGTAAGTTGAAGTCAGTTACTAACCTTTGTGGTTCTACCTTTGCTGTAAGTACAGACATTATAGTTGAGTTTCACGTTATTTTGAAAACTTAAAAACACAGAGCTGTTTTATTTCTATTCTGCCTGTCCGTTGTGAGGTGCTGACCTCAATAGGAGCTGAGGCCACTGAGCACATCAAAAGATCAACACCCTTACTGTGTAAACTTTGGTTTATGAATGTAAAATTGTTAACTTTTTTCCCTCAAGTTATGTCATAATAGCATCTGAAGTATATTTCATAATAAATAAGGCTTTATGCCAGCAAAACATTAATAGAGCTCATACTGTAAAAATAAGATTAGACTGGTGAATTTAGGCTTCTTTCCAATAAATTAGATGAATACTGGACTGATGCCTTGGCCAGTTTCTAAAGAATGATTTTGTAGTTTCTTTTGGCATCATAGCATAAAGCCACTTTGAGGGGAACTTGGTCTTTTTAATTTCTTAAAGATGTTTGGTAATGTGGTCGCAGATTGACCCCAGCTGCTTTTAGTCTATGACTTATTTAGGTTACAAAATAACCTAAGTGTGTGTCTGTGTTTATGCACTCCTCATGCATATTTACTCAGATGTGTGTATTTTAAGAAATTTAATGTGCCTTCACTTATTCAGCAGTGAACTAATATACATTGCAATGATAGTGAGCCCACCAAGTTGTCATGGGCCTCAATATTCAACACTTAATTTGTGGTTATATTTACTTATCGAAAGGAAAATTAGTAGACTTCGAGAGTATATTTTAAAAATTGGTAAAATGAATCTTAAGAGCACTTACTCTTGTGCTTTTTATTGGGGTAGGGTTGTTTTGAAAAGGAGGAGACCAATCTATTTTTTAATATTCCCAGGTTTTCCGTTTTATTTGTTCAAAAGCTGTTCTCAAATAATAAGATTGGGGAAAGGAAAAGCAAATATAATAGACATTTTCTGATAAGAACTGAGATTCCTTAGTAAACGTTCTCACAGTATTGCTAACAACAGTTTTCTTTTGAAAGAAAGGGATCCAGCTAACCAAAAGTGTACCATAAAAAATGGATTTAAATATATTCTTGTCTCTACTTAAAATTAGAAAGCTGTACTTAGGGAGCAAAATCTTTGTGTAACCAATTTTTGTATAAAATGTATGGTGCTTTTTAAAATTATTTTTTTCTTAATCTGTGAAATTTGTTCATTGCTTGTAAAATGCTGTGTGGGAAACCTATTAAATAGAAACATAATTCTGTAGTATTATATATAACTATTTATCTGTGTCCATAAAAATCAGTCTTTTACAAGTTAAGATGTTCTGAAAGAACATGAGCAAAGGTTTTATAATATATCCATAGATTATTGGAGTGGCATGGGATAACCTTTAAAGCTCCCAGTGAATTTGTGGGTGGAAGGAGGGACAGTAACATAACTGTGCTTTATTTTATGCACACAGCAGTGATGCTATTGCCATATTATATCTTCATATATCCTCAGCCAGCTAGGGCAGAAGTCCCTGCTATGCTTTCTAGAAGACTGAAGGCATGTATTGTGAGCATTACAGAATTCCCAATGTTTTAAGTTATGTCAAGAAAATATTCTGATTAAGAAGTTAATTGTTTTATACTATATTATGAGAATATTTTTTGCTGGTGTTCTCCAGTGACACGCCAGAGAAAAATTACGTTTTGAAAAGCTATTCCAGTTGAGAAGGAACATGGGGCCGATGGAATGCACCCACGAGTGCTGAGGGAGCTGGCGGATGTCATTGCTGAGCCACTCTCCATCATCTTTGAGAGGTCCTGGAGGACAGGAGAGGTGCCCGAGGACTGGAGAAAGGCCAGTGTCACTCCAATCTTCAAAAAGGGCAAGAAAGAGGACCCAGGGAACTACAGGCTGGTCAGCCTCACCTCCATCCCGGGAAAGGTGATGGAGCGTCTTATTCTAGAGTTCATCATCAAGCAAGTGGAGGAAAAGGTTATCAAGAGTAGTCAGCATGGATTCACCAAGGGGAAATCATGCCTGACCAATCTGGTAGCTTTCTACGATGACATGACTGGCTGGGTAGATGACGGGAGAGCCGTGGATGTTGTCTACCTAGACTTCAGCAAGGCTTTCGACACGGTTTCCCTTAACATCCTCCTAGGGAAGCCCAGGAAGTGTGGGCTGGATGAGTGGTCAGTGAGATGGATTGAGAACTGGCTGAATGGCAGAACTCAGA